ATAGTGTTTCTCTATTATATGACTGATATGCATTGTCTGTGTCCCCACCCAGACCTCATCTTGTAGTTCCCATAATTGCCATGTGTTGTGGGAGGGACCTGGTGGGAGATCACTGAATCATGGGGGCAGGTCTTTCCCATGCTATTCTTGTGATAGTGAATAAGTCTTACGACATTTGATGGTTTTAAAAAGAGGCCTTCCTGAAATGGATAAATTCCTGGACACTTGCGTCCTCCCAAGCCTAAACCAGGAAGAAGCCGAAACCCTGAACAGACCCATAACAAGGTCTGAAGTTGAGGCGGCAATTAAGAGCTTACCACCCAAAAAAAGCCCAGGTCCAGACGGGTTCACAGCCGAATTCTACCAGACATACAAAGAGGAGCTGGTACCATTCCTTCTGAAACTATTCCAAACAATACAAAAAGAGGGAATTCTTCCCAAATCATTTTATGAGACCAACATCATCCTGATTCCAAAACCCGGCAGAGACTCAACAAGAAAAGAAAACTTCAGGCCAATATCCATGATGAACATAGATGCAAAAATCTTCAATAAAATACTGACAAGCCAATTGCAACAGCACATCAAAAAGCTTATCCACCATAATCAAGTAGGCTTCATCCCGGGGATACAAGGCTGGTTCAACATACGCACATCTATAAACGTAATTCACCACATAAACAGAACCAAAGACAAAAACCACATGATTATCTCAATTGATGCAGAGAAGGCCTTTGACAAAATTCAACAGCCCTTTATGCTAAATACCCTCAATAAGCTAGGTATTGACGGAACGTATCTCAAAATAATAAAAGCTATTTATGACAAACCAACAGCCAATATCATACTGAATGGGCAAAAACTGGAAGCATTCCCCTTGAAATGTGGCACCAGCCAAGGATGCCATCTCTCACCACTTCTATTCAGTATAGTACTAGAAGTTCTAGCCAGAGCAATCAGGCAAGAAAAAGAAAGAAAGGGCATTCAAATAGGAAAGGAGGAAGTCAAATTGTCTCTATTTGCAGACGACATGATTGTATACCTAGAAGACCCCATCATCTCAGCCCCAAATCTCCTGAAACTGATCAGCAAGTTCAGCAAAGTCTCAGGATACAAAATCAGTGTGCAAAAATCACATGCATTCCTGTACACCAATAACAGACTTAAAGAGAGCCAAATCAAGAACAAACTTCCATTCACAATTGCCACAAAGAGAATAAAATACCTAGGAATACAACTAACAAGGAACGTAAAGGACCTCTTCAAGGAGAACTACAAACCACTGCTCGACGAAATAAGAGAGGACACAAACAGATGGAGAAACATTCCATGTTCATGGTTAGGAAGAATCAATATCATGAAAATGGCCATACTGCCCAAAGTAATTTACAGATTCAACGTTATCCCCATCAAGCTACCAATGACGTTCTTCACAGAACTGGAAAAAACCACCTTAAACTTCATATGGAACCAAAAGAGAGTCCACATAGCCAAGTCAATTCTAAGGAAAAAGAACAAAGTGGGAGGCATCATACTACCGGACTTCAAACTATACTACAAGGCTACAGTAATCAAAACAGCATGGTACTGGTACCAAAACAGAGATATAGACCAATGGAACAGAACAGAGGTCTCGGAGGCAACACATCTACAACCATCTGATCTTTGACAAACCAGACAAAAACAAGCAATGGGGAAAGGATTCCCTGTTCAATAAATGGTGTTGGGAAAACTGGACCCATTCCTGACACCTTACACTAAAATTAACTCCAGATGGATTAAAGACTTAAACATAAGACCTAACACCATAAAAACCCTAGAAGAAAATCTAGGCAAAACCATTCAGGACATAGGTGTAGGCAAGGACTTCATGACCAAAACACCAAAAGCATTGGCAACAAAAGCCAAAATAGACAAATGGGACCTAATCAAACTCCACAGCTTCTGCACAGCAAAAGAAACAGTCATTAGAGTGAATCGGCAACCAACAGAATGGGAAAAAATTTTTGCAGTTTACCCATCTAACAAAGGGCTGATATCCAGAATTTACAAAGAACTAAAACAGATTTATAAGAAAAAAACTAACAAGTCCATTCAAAAGTGGGCAGAGGATATGAACAGACACTTCACAAAAGAAGACATACATGAGGCCAACAAACATATGAAAAAATGCCAATCATCACCGGTCATCAGAGAAATGCAAATCAAAACAACATTGAGATACCATCTCACGCCAGTTAGAAAGGCGATCATTAAAAAATCTGGAGACGACAGATGCTGGAGAGGATGTGGAGAAATAGGAACACTTTTACACTGTTGGTGGGAGTGTAAATTAGTTCAACCATTGTGGAAGACAGTGTGGCGATTCCTCAAGGACCTAGAAATAGAAATTCCATTTGACCCAGCAATCCCATTACTGGGTATATATCCAAAGGATTACAAATTGTTCTACTATAAGGACACGTGCACATGAATGTTCATTGCAGCACTGTTTACAATAGCAAAGACCTGGAACCAACCCCAATGCCCATCAACAATAGACTGGATAGGGAAAATGTGGCACATATACACCATGGAATATTATGCAGCCATCAAAAATGATGAGTTTGTGTCCTTTGTAGGGACATGGATGAACCTGGGAACCATCATTCTCAGCAAACTGACAGAAGAGCAGAATATCACACACCGCATGTTCTCACTCATAGGCAGGTGTTGAACAATGAGAACACATGGACACAGGGAGGGGAGCACTACACACTGGGGTCTGTTGGGGGGAAATAGGGGAGAGACGGTGGGGGGTGGGGAGCTGGGGAGAGATAGCAAGGGGAGAGATGCCAGATGTAGGTGATGGGGAGGAAGGCAGCAAATCACACTGCCACGTGTGTACCTATGCAACAATTTTGCATGTTCTCACATGTACCCCAAAACCTAAAATGCAATAAAATAAATGGGAAAGAAAAAAAAATCCCAGTGCCCAGGCCACAGCCCAGACAAATTCAACCGGAATCTCTGGGGATGGTGTCCGGGCATCAGGACCTTCTAAGACTCCCTCCAGTGATTCCAATATGCAGCACCAGTTGAGATTCGTTGTTTCTTAAAAACCCTTTGCAAAAGCAGGACTGGTTGAAGTGGTGACTATTCGACAGCACAAAACCGAACATCGAACATCGACTCTAAATGGCAGTTCAGTCGGCTTGTTGCAGACTGGGAAGAAGCACTCACCCCACGGTGGTGATGCGGGTCTTTTACTGCATACAATCTGCAGACCCTGCCTAAAATTTTCCATGCCAGGCAATGAGATCACAAACTCCAAAACATTAAATCAAAACCGGAGGGATTACGGGTCTTCAATAAAACTTCATAGCCCATACACAAAGGGGAGGGGGAAGAAAATTAAAACCATCACCAAGCTGTGGATGTATTATATATATGTGTGTGTGTGTGTGTGTGTGTGTGTGTGTGTGTGTGTGTGTGTGTATGTATATGTAGCAAGCATTGGGATGTCGTAGCAATTAGAGACAAAAATATATAGAACAATAATTAGTTAAAAGTGATTGGCTAGGCAGACAGTAAAAATTATCCATTTGTGCCTTAAAGAAAGCTCATTATAAAAGATACTTGATTTCTGGCAAGGAAAATGATTTATGCTGTGGTGGGTAGAAATAACAGTGATATACATATGAGAAATTAAATGAACATGAAGGAGATCCTACTTTGATGAGAATATTCAATTATAGAGGACTTCAAGACTTCTGAGTTTACACAACCCTGTAACAAAGCCTTTATTCCAAAATAGTGGTGTTTCTAAATTGTATGCTGGATATAAAAAATAAAATCTTTAACATCTTAAAGAAAAAAAAAAAAAGAAGCCTTCCCTTGCACAAACTTTCTCTTGTCTGCTGCCATTCACGCAAGATGTGACTTGCTCCTCCTTGCCTTCTGCTGTGATTATGGGGCCTCCCCAGCCATGTGGAACTGTAAGTCCATTAAACTCTTTCTTTTGTAAATTGTCCAGTATTGGGTATGTCTTTATCAGCAGCATGAAAAAAGATGAATACAGCGACTTTTCTAATACATCAAGTGTGACTATTGCTGAAGGTACTTCAACATTCTTTATTCTCATAGACTTTCTTTCTTCTGTATGTCCTCTGATTTTGAATTAAGGATTTGACTTCACACTGAATATTTTCTTTCCTTAACTAGAGGTACCATATAATCCAGCAATCCCACTGCTGGGTATATATCAAATACCAGGTATTAGTATTGATAGCACAACAGGGTGACTATAGTCAAAATAGTTATACATTTTAAAATAAAGAGTGTAACTGGTTTGTAACACAAAGGATAAATGTTCGAGGGAATAGTTATCTCATTTCCCATGACGTGATTACTACACATTACATGCCTATATCAAAACATGTCATGTACTGCCTCTCTCTATATATATACATATACACCTACAAAAATTAAAGATTAAAAAAAAAATAAAAACAACCAAAACCTTTCCTTTGGATGAGAAACAAAACAAAGATGTGCTTAAATATAATGCTATACAGTTTCTCTTTTTAATTGTCATTTTGTGAGTGTCTGTATTGGTCCATTTTCATGCTACTGATAAAGACATATCCAAGACTGGGCAATTTACAAAAGAAAGAGGTTTAACAGACTTCAGTTCCACGTGGCTGGGGAAGCCTCACAATCATGGCAGAAGGCAAGGAAAAGCAAGTCATGTCTTACATGGATGGCAGCAGGCAGAGAGAGAGCTTATGCAGGGAATAAGCTTATAAAGCCCCCCCCCTTATAAAGCCATCAGATCTCATGAAACGTATTCAGTATCACAAGAACAGCAGGGGAAAAACCCGCCCCCAGGATGCAATTGCCTTCCACCAGGTCCCTTCCACAACACATGGGAATTCAAGATGAGATTGGAGTGGAGACACAGCCAAACCATATCAGTGTCTAAATAAGGTACTAAAAATTAACATTAACTTTCATATTACCAGAAGTATTTGGATTTATTGAAGACATCACAGAATCCACTTCTATCTAGAAAAGAGGAAAAAATAACAGAACATGTAATTTTATCAAACGTTTTCACAGTGCAAGTTCTTAAACCTTCGGGTGGGAATAAGGATCTATTTTTACGAGAAACCAAGTTTGTTGACCCAAGCAGGCAACTGATGATACATGACAGCTATAACAGTCATTTTGCTTTTCCATCAACATCTATAAAATAGCAGACACTAATCTGCTAGCATCTAATGGCCCCCAAAACTTTATTCCATTGACCAAAAGAGTTTAAGCACAGAAAATCAATTTGGCTGTCCCATATATAATATAATCTAACAGGCAGCCTTTCTACTTTAGACAAATAAAAACAAGTGTTATAATGGGCTCGGTGGCTCTATTTTTAAATTTCTTTTTTTCCTGATTATAAAAGTACCACGATTGATGTAGAAAACACAAAAAGTTATGAAGAAAATTGAAAAATCAGCCATCCAATGAAAACCACTGTTATCATTTTAGACTAATCAACATTTTTCCTCTATGCATTTTTAAACATTTGAGACTTTAAACACTGTATAGAAAGCATGAGTACTTGCTTTCATTAAATGTTAAAATAAAAGCCCTTTACCACGCTGCTACCAGGGTGTTATAAACATTGGAGTATTAGAGCCTTGGCAGCATCTGACATAATTTCTCCACTTCTAGTCTCAAACTCTTGCCAGTCTTGGATTCCCTGCATTTTCCTCGTTCCTCTTGTCCCTGACAAATGGTTCCCATGCCATTTTCTTCAAGTCCCCTGCCTCCCCTTAAATGTTGGTATTCCCTAACGTTCTAAGGCCATGACTCTTCTTATTCTGCATACTCTTCCTGGGCAATGTCATACAGCCTCATGTTTTGAGCAGCCACCTGGAAACCAAGGAGCCCCAAGACTATCTCCAGCCCTACCCTCTCCACCCAATTTCAGATTCCTACATCTCAGGGAGGCAGATCTAACAGCAGATTCTCACCACCATAACCTGAATAGCCAGCACAGTATTTAACAAGTAAATGCACCTGGAATGCCCATAGCTGTCTCAAACTCAATGTATTCCCATTGAAACTCACTAACTTCCTCTGAATCTACTCTTAAATTTTCTCTTAGTTGGTGGCATCACTATCCCTTCACTCCTGGTGGTCATGTCACTCTTACCACCACTGCATCCAGTCAATCATCCGGGCCTAACTTGTCCCACCACTCACAAAGTGCTCCTACTTATCAGAGTAGTCTATCTTCTCTAGTCTAAATGACCACCTGGACTGTTATCGTCACTACTAGAATTAGGCCTTGCTTCTTTGTACTCTTCACTTTGTTTTTCAATCTCTTCTCTTTCTTGGCATCTGTCACAGTTGCATATCTCTCCACATTAAACTCAACTGCTTTGAAGTAGAGACTGTGCTTCATTCATCTTTACATCACTAGCAACTAGCAAGTGTTCTTTTTATTAAAGAGGAACACTTAATAAATTTCACTCTGTATGGGTGGGCACGGTGGCTCATGCCTGTAATCCTAGAACTTTGGGAGGCTGAGGTGGGTGGATCACTTGAGGTCAGGAGTTGGAGACCAGCCTGGCCAACATGGTGAAACCCCGACTACACTAAAAATACAAAAACAAAACAAAACAAAACAAAAACCAAAACCAGGTGTGGTGGCATGCATCCGTAGTCCCAGCTACTCAGGAGGCTGAGGCAGAATTGCTTGAACCCAGAAGGTGGAGGTTGCAGTGAGCCTAGATCACACCACTGCACTCTAGCCTGGGTGACAGTGCAAGACTCTATCTCAAATAATAAATAAATAAATTTCATTATGTAAACAACTGCATGAATGTATAAGTGATTTATTATGTAAGTATTTTACTTCTTCATGATCAGCAGTCAGTAAATATTTCAATTGCTCAAAAGTGATATTCAAAAATTAACCCCAAACCTCAAACTAGTATAAAAATCTGTTGAATTTCACAGAAATTATACATTGTCACTTGTGTAAGAAAAGTTCATTGTACAAATGACAAAGTGTATAGGTGATATACTATAAATAAATACTGATTAGTGACCTGTGGTTAGTAAATAGTTCATTTGCTTAAAAAATAAAATAGAAAACTTCACCCCAGTATGAAAAGTAAAATCTGTTAAATTTCATGGAGCGTATGTACAATAAGTTACATAACTGTAGCTGTCATTAAATTCCTCATTCTAAAATTGAAACCATATAGACTCAAGAGTGATAAAGACAAAATGAGACAAGTTATCATTTCAGGTGAATCCAAGTTAAATACAATGCTTCACAGACTGATTCTATTTAGCTGACCTGTTTCCAGCTGAAATGATTGCAGGTTAACAGGAGAGCTGCAATTTCTAAGAGTCAGCCCTGACTGCTTCTTTGAGCTCCGTAATAAGCTTCACAGTAACTAAGCATCCCCTCATAGTTGAGCCATCCTGAGCCCACCTGGGTTGTTTAACCGACTTGGGTCAAGAGAATATATTAAGATTTACTGTGCATCACAACTTCACAGTACATTTGTTCTGTTGACGCAAATAGGGTGGGGAAGCATGACATCACAGGGTCCCTGGCTTTGCTGGGCTTTCAATCTGGCAGAAAGGTAGAGCCCACTCATGAGGAACAGCTGGGCCATAATTAATCGCCAGGCTGTCTGGCCTAATGAGAGTGACGGTTGGCATTCCAGGCTGAGCCCTGAGTGCTCCCTTTGCCTGATGGTTGCAGTTCAGTTTCTTGAAACTAGACAATATCTTGACTCTAATTCCAGCTTAACAAGAAGGGCACTTTCTCTAGAATAAATGTAACAGGAAAGCAGAAGAGCATAAAGACGGGTGAACAGAAGACTTGTCCTACTAAAGTAGGAGGTTCATGGAGGCTCAGCTCAATTACCATTATTGGTGAATTGGTGCAACTTTTCTGGAGAGCAATATCTAACAAAATTCTAAATGTACGTATCCCATGACCCAGCAATTATGCTTCCAGGAACTTATTCCACAGATATGCAGCCACAAGGACAGAAATACGTGTATCATTGCCGCAATGTTTGTAGGAAGTATAACAATAAAAAAAACCTAAATAACCTGAGACAGGAACCTGGGTAAATAGAATATGCAACTATATTTTAAAATGTGTTAAGGTATGTGCTTTTAGGTTGATACACTGTTAAATGAGAAAAGCAAGTTAAAGTAGGCACAATATTTAGCCATTTATGCTTTCAATAAAAGATTATGCATTCATGTTTGTCATGGATAGAAAATTTCACAACTACTCAAAAAACTGTTAATAATGGTAATCCCCTACAAGTGGGACCCTCTTGTAGGTAGGGAGGGGATTTTATGTTAAACTTTATACCTTTCTGCACTGTTTTAATTTTTTGACTGTGGATGTATTTTATAAACAAAGCAACAAAAGTAAAGCTTAAGAGACTCTGTGTCATGTCCTATGTAAATTTCTTCTGTTACCGACACGCCCCACTCCGACTTGCCTCTTGGCACCTCTCTAGCATCTTGTATTTATTATAGTTATTAGCAGCCTGGTGGTGAGATAGGCTCGTGTAGGCTCCAGTGGTATATAGACTTCTACTTCATCTCTGGTTTGAGATGTTAAGAGGAAACTAAAATTCAGCACTGGAAATACCTCTGAAATTGCTTATAAAGCAGAGATTGACTTTATAAATATCCTAAGCTAGCCCCGTGAACTTTTCTTAGGATCCATTCGCTATTGATCGTCTACCCCATCCCAAATATATAAGAAAGCTCTACCTTGGAGGGCTTATACCCAAACAGCATTACAACAGCAACTTTAAAGTCCTCTCTGCTGAGATATCCTTTGTGATCTTCATCACATGCTTTAAATACCTGAAGAACATTGAATAGCTTTAGTTAATGAGACAGAAACGGTTTCTTATTTTTATTACTAGTTGATACATAGTTTGGACCTCGAAAATCTAAAACTTGGCCCAGCCGTAGAGTTTGAAAACGGAACTTCCTTGTGCCAGTATTAACTCTCAAGAAATCTTAAAGATGGGCTGAAATTTCCCTCAAGAAAGTGCAAATGAGTTAACCGCTAGGCTGACGCAAATTAATTCATTTAGACCACTGAGATAAATTCTACCCAAAATTCAGTCCTGGAGTTAAGGTGAGGCAAAGGCGCTGGTTTTGAAAAGCGGGAGGAGAGATGAAGATTCGAGATTACCATTAATAGACTATGTAAAGGGAAAGGAGAAGGAAGTTGGAAGTAGCCGTAGTCCTGGACCGGGAGCCAGGAGCCCTGTAGCTCCGTAACCACGACCCTTTGGACCGGCAGCCCAGGTCTGGTCTGTACGACTGGGCTGAGTGAGACCGGCGGGGAAGAAGCGACAGGCCCGGGCCAAGCTGAAGTCAGAGACTCAGTCGCCCTCTGGACACCTACTTTCACCCACATCTTGTGTTCCGAGGGACTGGTTTCCCACGTCCGCGACCTGGCCACAGCCTCGGAGAAGAACATCGCAACAGCAACAACCGAACCAGAGCAACACAACCACCCGCCACGCTGCCCTAGCCTAGCTTGCAGCCTACCACGGCCACGCCCACCGCGGCTCAGGAAGCCGAACTTCACCGCGCAACTCCAACGTCTCCTCCCATTGGACAACCTGCCAGCCACTCGCGTTAATCCCGCAGGGCTATTGGCCAGAGCCTTTGTTTCATCAGGTTTCCTTGGAGCCGCCCGGAGTGGTGAAGCTCCCAGCCTGCCCCCGGCACTTGGCTCCACCGGCTGCTCTGTTCCGTTCACTCCTTGCGCGCGGCTGTAAATCCAAGCGCTTTTAGGTGCTGGTTCAATGTGTCCTGGTTCGGGATTTCCTTCATTCTCCCTCCATCTTGCAATACGTTACTTTTAATCATTTAGATCTATGGCACTATGCTAAACATTATATGCAGACAAAAAGAGTGTACACAAGCATAAAAAGAACCAAACGAAGAGCCAAGTCCAGGATTCTCGTTCAGATCAGCAAGTCATTGGGATCGAGCACCCAGGGTAGTAGCTACTACGTGTGTTCTGCCCTCCAGACAACCCCAGCACCTTGCACTGTGCCTAGCACAAAGTAGGTCTTCAATGAACGAAACGAGCTGTTATGTTCACACAAATGTATTTCACTCAATCCTCTGGAAGAGATGCCTACGTTGAAAAACATTCCAATAATAAATACCATAAACAGCACCAAGCCCAAATTTCATAGCAAACATCTTTATTAAAGGCAAGGAATGTGGGGAGAGTTCCGTTTCTCAGAAGATTTTAAAAGAACGCAACTGTTTCTAAGTAGAAACAGACATTCGAGGTTCTGAGTCCAATGGGAACTCATTTAACTTTTTATTTTACAGCCGATTTTAAACTCTGCACCCATCCCCTCCCAGGACACAGGTCTCCTTGCAGCTGCCTTTAACCTAAGCCTATCCTCTCTCCACTTTAAACTCCGCTGCATGGAGCCCTGGGAGCCTGAGCCATGATAATCCTATAAAGCGGGTGAGTCTTGCTAATAGTTAACTAGACAGAAGTTAGGGGATGGCTTTCTGGTTTCCCTCTTGCTTTGAGAAGTCCCCAGAAAGTGAGCCGAGAGCTAGGGTAGGCCCCACCCCGTCCTGGGTAAACACCCGGCGGGCTTTAGGACCCAGCAATGGGTTCCCGGAAGGGGAAGGGGCCGGGCCTCTGGCAAACGCCGCTGCCCGAAGGGTTTGAACTGCGCGCATGCGCGATAGTCGCCGGTGGGGCGGGATCCTAGGCGAGTGTGTGTTCTGCGCGCCTCAGGTAGGTGCTGTGCGACCGCTGGCGCGGACTAGGCGCGGTTTCTCGCGGGCTGCGGTTTGGCCCAGGATCCTGCTCCAGGTCCGGTCGTGGTGCGCGGGCTGCTGGAGTCCGGCAAGGCTGGAAACGGAACGCGAGGAAATGGCGCTGCCAGGAAGACGGGACAGGGTCGACTCGGCCCCGGGGCCTCGGTTTCCTCCGATCACAGCGCTTCAGGGGGCGCGCACTGGCGCCGCGGGGACCCGAGTCTTGCCCGGGCGCGACGCGAGGGGCCCCTGCTCAGGTTCTTATTCCCAAACCTAAGCTTACAGGTGCGTGGTCCCAGACAGTGAGTAGGAAAGCGCCCACCACGTGCCAGGCGGTTAAGCTTTCTGTGGTCGGTTTCCCAGTATAGGGGGACCGTCACCGTAGTACAGAGTTGTCCTGAGGGTGAAGCGAGTTGACACCCGATGAGGCGCTTCGAAGCGTGCCTGGCTCCAGGTGAGCATGCAGTCAAGTTAGCAGCTGCTGTCATCACTTCCTCACGTTCCTAATCGGTCCCCAACGCCGTCAGCAAGAGCCCTCTCACTTCTTTGTCTCCAAACCATTCTCTACAGAGTTTTAGCACACATTTGTATTAAAAAGGCAAATCGACGTGGGGGGCGCGGTGGCTCACGCCTGTAATCCCAGCAGTTTGGGAGACAGAGGGGGCAGATCACTTGAGGTTAGGAGTTCAAGACCAGCCTGGCCGACATGACGAAACCCCATTTCTACAAAAATTAGCTGAGCATGATAGTGGATGCCTGTAATCCCAGCTCCTCGGGAGGCTGAGGCAGGAGAATTGCTTGAACCTAGGAGGCGGAGTTTGCAGTGAGCCAAGTTCTAGCCGTTGAACTCCAGCCTCTGTGACAGAGTAAGGCTCTGTCTCCAAAAAAAAAGGACAAATTGGACTTCCCTTCTTCTTAAAGCCCTCAATGGGGCCCCATTGTTCTTAGCATAAAATCCAATGTCTTTCGCAAGTTTTCTCCCCGCACCCTCTTTATCGTGAACCACTGCCTGCCTTGCCTAAGTCGTTTTTTATGACCTCTCTCACCTCTGCAGGCTGGGTTCCCTCTGCTTGGAATGCTTTTTACGCCATTATTTAGACAGCAGGTTCCTTTTGGCTCTCTGGGTCTCATTTATATGTCACTTCTTCAGCATGTTCCAGAGTAAGGCCACCCCTGTTTTTTGTCTCATAAAATGTAATGAATGTCTAGTCATCTTGGCTATTACAGTTTGTATGTGTGTGTCTGTCTCTTCTGCTCTGAAATTATGCTCTGCTAAGGTAGAAGCTGTATATCATTAACGTTTCATTCTCAGTTTTTGGCACATAATAGCTGCCCAGTAAGTTGTTGAATGAATGAAGCCTGGGGGGTAAGCATGATATCCATTTTACAAACTAAAAAACTGAGGCTTAGCAGTTAACTAACCTGCCCAAGTGCACATTTACTCCCTAGTGAGGGCTGGGTTTGAGACAAGGGCCCATGTTTGCCTATCACTGGCCACAAGGGGACTCATCTGAGGAGCCTGGTCCCAGGCCCAACTGATAGTCTTTAAGCTCCATGAGAAGGAGCTGCTGGAGGTGAAAGAGAAGCGCCCCAGCTGGGTCTGGTATAGTGGGGAGAGAGGAAATACTAGCAGCTCTGAGTACCCTTTCATATCAACGTGTTTTAAAGTCCCTAATAAAAGCACTAACAGTGTCCTGAGCTAGCACTTGGCGGGAAATATGCTTTAGGTTTTTCATGTTAGTGCAGTGTTTGCCAAATTTCAATCACTCACCTGCCTTTTTCCCAGTTTGTTTTGTTCCCTTAACACATATGATGCAGGATTTTTCTAGAGCTGCTTTGCCAGCTGGAGACCTCCGGCCCTGAGCTGGCCACAGGAAGTGTTCTGCCCACTTAGCCTGGCAGGCTGCATTTGGCTTTCATCCTGGCCCACATCCTGTGGCCAGCATGACTGCATGCTCAGCCCGTGAGGAGGGTGTATGTGAGTGAGAGAGCCTAGAGGCCCAGCCGGCTCCTCCAAGTGCTGGCCCAGGTATAGGCTCCATGCAAGGCTTGTGACTGGCCCAGGCGTATGGTAAGTGACTCTCGCAGCAGACTCCAGTGTCCAGACAAGGGGGACACAGTGATGCCCGAACACTTGGAGATGCCATGCAAATAGGGATGTGTTAACAGCTCTTTTAGTCCTACTGTCCACAGCCCAGCAAATGGGGATGTGTGGCAGCCAGCAGCTTCCTCTCCCATTGCGCCACCAGTGGAACCAAGTACTACAGGGTTATAGCTCTATTTGCTGTACTTGCTGTTTAGCAGGTCCCAGTTTCTTGTCCCACATCCAGGAATAATGAGGTTAGGCTGACAACCGAAGGGGAGAAGGGCAGAGATGAGTTTTATTGAGCAGTGAACCAATTCTCAGCAGAGAGAACCCTAGGTAGGCGGCCGCTACCTGAAGTCAGGTACGCCCCTGCCCCCACCCAAAGGTGGGCAGTTCCTCGGTGTGGCTGAGGCCAGGGCTTTTGTGAGCTCAGAATGGGGAAGTGTATGCTGATTGGTTTATGAGTATGCAAAAAGCTAAAACAAAGGCACCACTTCAAAGGTAGGCATGATAGTATAAAAAACTAATTAGGGAAAAGTAGGTGTCTGTAAAGTAGGTGAAGGGTGGGGATTAATCAGAGGGAAGTGTGCCAAGTGGTAAGAGGTTCTCAATCTGGTCCGTGGATCTGTCCGAGACTTGTAGCTTGGCTTTCAGGCTTTAAACTCTTTGGTTTGCAGGTGGGGTTTCACTGGGGACCTGCCTCTATCTGCCTAGGGATTTGTCTGCCTCCTTTTGCTATTACATAGACTATCATACACTCAGTATTTTTGTTTGAATCCAATCATTCTTTTACATAAACTGTATTTTGCTATTTCAAATATAGCGTAGCCATAAGATACCTTCTGTTGATGGTAAACAAAACTGTTGGTGCCTACAGAAGAGCCCAGACCTGCTATTTGTTCAAAATCAAGATTAAAAGCATTTCTACAACACTACAACTTTCTTCTTGATTTAAACAGGGAGTTTGGATTGGAATGGAAAGGGAGGTTCTTTCATAATGTCAGATCCCAATCACTTCCACTTTAGGAAACACTGTGCTGTCCTGATTGAGTGCCAGGATTCAGAATCAACATAGCTATATTGCATTCTCTAATTCGATACCACTCACAAAAAGTGTGACTTTAGATTTATGCTGTATCAAACACTGCCCAGGCAGGGAAGACAGGTGATAAACAATTGAAGGAAAGCTCTTGGGTTCTACATTTGTAAAAACTGTATGACTTGATTACAAAACACTCTGGAATGCTGGGCACCAGATCCTGTATGAGGGAAGTAATTCTGACACTGGTGACCATCCAGTTATCCAAAGTAAAAGTTTGATATTAGTGTTTACCAGCAGTCCTTTTCCAACTGGCTGCGTACCTTGATTTCATGAAGAGATTGGTAAGCTGCTACACTTAATTGCAAGACACAATTTTATTAGTGTATTGCACTAAATTGTAACCCAATACATCATATTGTGTTGTCTTTAATAAGCAACTCTGACACATTTTTGAGTGTCAGCAAGTTCAAAACTTTATGTATAGAGCAGAAACCCAAGAAAGGCTTTGTTCTCTAGAAAATGTCTTTTTAAAAGCTTTGTTTTATTTTTTACCAGCTTGTCCTACTTTGTTGGAGAGAATTCCACTTCCATGTGGTTTTAGAAAATGTAGTTAATGATAAAACTAAAAAACCTTTGAAATTCTCCAA